TAACTTTTCATATTAGAAATTGTATCCATGAAACTGTAAGTGATGTTTAAACAATAATCCACTGGCTAGGTAGGCAGAGTGATATATGCATATGTATTTGTTCACGGTTATTTTGTGAGGGATGTTTTTCCTCCAATATGCACCTTCTCAATTCTGCATTTTAACATCAGCAATTATTACTGTGGGAAACACTGGGTCAAATGTTCATTATTAAAAGATTTTAACCCCCTTGCAGATGGTGGCAATTTAACTCAATTACAAAAATGAGTCAATTAACAGCAGGAGTAGAGTTGGAGTTACATGGAGTGCCATTAAGAACTAGACATTTAGCATATTGCAGTACTTCTTGCCAAACAAACTGTGTTAACTTAGAGTTAAGAGTGCTGAAGTAATTAATATAACCTTTATTCAAATTGTACCACTACTACATTGCCATTAAAAATAATCTAAAAACTGAAATGATCACGTAAGGTAATCTGCATATAATTGATTATCAGCAATACTATTATGTGAAAGTTATGTTATACATTCCAATAAACAGTTTTACTCTAACCCAGAAGACATAATTATAGTCTCTTTCAACATATACATTGCTAATTACATACTTTATATGTCAAGGGTATATTTTTACATTGCATCTGATTTCACATGCAGGAGCTACAAAATTTCCTTTCCCCAGTGCACAAGTTTAGTCTCAGTTGTAACATCCTGCATTCAGCTTTTGCATTGATGTGCCTATCATTTAAAAGTTTCTTCATCAGATTTATTGACAGGGTCTCATGCATAGATTTTCTGTAATACTATTTATGAAATTTGTTTGTATATGAAAATTGAGTTCTGAAAAGTATCCTGGGCACAAGGTAATTACGGAAATGACTTCTCCAGTGAATCTTGAAGTAGCCTTTTCATCAGATATGGAGACACAACATTAAACAGAAGCCCTTTGTTTAATATGGGGACACACAAAAATTAGAAATTTCAAAAATCTCCAAAAGGAGTAATTTTAATTGTTTTGAATCTGAAAACTAATTGCTGAATTTCTTTGAAATTTTATCAAAAACTTCTTATGGTCACTGAGAGTTAACCTTAAAATTCTGAAAGCCTAAAGATTTTTGGTCGTTTAGTGTCTTTCAAAGTATGGCAAATCAACCACATAAGAGCCTTAACTCAGAAGGGAGACCATCTCTGGTCTTCACAATTTACCTTGATTTAAAAGCTCCAATTGCCTATACATAGAATGGGAAAGACCTGCAATGTCTCAGGAAATCTAATTACTGTGGATGGTATCTGTTTAATAGCACACACTGTAACTTTCCTGCTACAGTAGGTAATGGGGATCAGATTTGGGAGGGCAGTCAGGGAAGGCTGGAAATGGAATGCTAATAGGAATCCAAGGGAAAAGAATGTAGACTGTGTGTGATGGGGATGTTAGAGACCCAAATGCATCAGAAGATGCAGTATGGTGGACAGAGGAGATCAGTAGAGCCCTGCAAATCCGCAGATATCCGCTTCATATCGTTCGATGCGGATATCCACGGACTATTTTTGCAGATAGTGGATTGGATGCAGATACAACCACGTAGGGCTCTACCCACCGATGGCACTTGGCCCGCGGCGTCCAGCCTGGGCAGCCCGGGGGGCGCAGCATGCTCGGGGCCAGCAGCCAGTGCCTGGGGCTGGGTGGCAGGTCGGAGTCAGGGCTGTCCAGCACCTGCTCGGTGCGCCGCTTCCTGTCCAGCAGCTCGGGCCCCTCGGGCAGTGCCAGCATCACCACCATGGCCGGGGAGCACTGGCTGTGCTCCCAGTCCTGGGCCTGGCCTGGTGGCTCCTGGGCAACAGGACCCGCACCTGGCCACAGGGATTGGAGCGGGCATGGCACCGTCGCCTCATCCCTCCGCCCCACTGTGATGCAGCACATACTGCTGCTGCCATGTGCCATCGCTCACGAGCCTCCTGGAGCAGCACATGATGCAACGCCCCTTCCCCCCAGCCTCCCCTCCGCAACCCTCTTCTCCTCGAGACACCACCCCCGCACTGCCCCCCATCTCCAGGTGCCACCCTCGCGCTGCCTCTTCCCTGCAAGCCCTTGCTCCCTTCCCTCTCTCCCCTGTCGCTAGCCCTTGTGAGACAGCTTGCTGCTGTGGATGCGAATACAGATGTTAGTATAGGTAAAAGACGGCCAGCGGATCACGGACTGAGCCTGGTGGATGTGGATTGGATGCGGATCCACATTTTTGTATCCGCGCAGGGCTCTGGGGATCATCAAAAAGAACTGGAGAGGAACTATCAGGAATAGAAAGCATCAGTGATTCTGAGGGTATGTCTTCGTGGCATAGTTTTGGGCTCTTACTCAGGTGTTGCCCCTCAGCCCCCTTCCATCCACACACAAATTCCTAGTGTTATGCTCAGGTCCAGGAAAACCACCCTAAACAAGCCTGATTGGTCAAAAAGTGCCGAGAAAACTGCAAAAAATTGGCATGGGGCAGGAATTTGCATCATTGCAATGGGCAGGGTTTGAGGGGAAAAACACCTGTGGGGCATAGTCCAGTTAAAAAACAAAAGTGTACGGAAAAAACCCTGCAGGGTGACTGCATGAAAATTGTCACCCAACTTCTCAAAAACAAGCACAGTTACTTTCTATATGCTACTTTGGCAAGTAGCTGGCCCAGATGGGGGTATAGGCTAAAGCTCAGATGCTTTCACTCTGGCTGGTAACCTGCCCTGAGGATGCAGGCTGTATCACTCAAGTGCAGATAGACCTCCAGTGCCTTCCCAAAATTCCCTCTGTTTGCCCAGGACAGACAAGTTTTCCCACAATTAACTAAGAGAGAATCATAGAGTAGCTCAGCCTACTGCAGCACAAAGAATCATGGGTTGTGCCCCCAAAAGTCCTAGTGAGTCACACACATGGTTGTGTGCAGCACCTGTGAGGACACAGTAATTTGGGTATGGCTCTGTGGAGTGGCTGTTCACAGTTGGGCTAGGCTGACCCAGGTGCTAATCATCCTGGCTAACTCTGCACTGAAGACAGCCTGAGAGGGGAAGCAGCAATGAAAGACAGAAAATGAAGAACAGATTACAGCAGTATTTCAAGTTGCAATTCAGCAAAGTACTTATGCATACTTAAGTCGGGATGATTTAAATGGGACATAAACACGTGCTTAAGTGCTTTGCTGTATCAGGGCTACAGTGAGAGAAAACCAGCAAGCAAAAGGGGCAGTGAAAGGTGCATTAACAGGGAAAGCAATAAAAAGAGAGGACTGGGAGAAAATTGAAATGAGAGAAAGCAATAAGAGTTAGAAAAGCAAACAGGAAGATCAGGGTTCAAATCCTGTTCAGTGAAATGAAGGAGGAAATAAAGGCTACAGAGAGAGAGAGAGAGAGACAGGAGAAGATACAGAAGAAGGATGAACAGTTGCAGCCAGGGAGATAGAGGATGCACTGTTTTGTTATCAGTAACATTCCAGGAGCCTACCCACTTGGAAAACTGGTAGTTCTAGTTACATCATGGAGGGTTAAATATTGTCTGAATTCAAATATCATCCGATTGTGGATAGTTACTCACATGTTTACAGTTCTCAGCTAGCTGTACAGTTCAGCTACAGTCTACTGGAACCACCCTGCATCAAAGCTTGCCCTTGTCCTTGTCATCCTGAAACTCTCTAGCTCTTGCCACACCTGTCTAATGTGCTCTCTGCTGAGTGGATATCAAAGTGAAATGAACTCTGGGCTACAGAGCCCAAAGGAGCAGAACGGAGTGTGAGAGAACCCAGATGCCGCATTCTGTCCCTTTTTGCTAAGTTAGGGCTGCAGTGTGAAACTTACCAAAGATTTTGGGTAGTTTTACTTTCAAGCGCAATTCTCTGAGTGGCAAAGGAAGGATCTTGTACAAGAGGGTGAGGGGAAAGAGGCAATAGACCAAAGGAGAAGTAGGGGAGAGAACTAATAGACGTGTACATTGATAAATTGATAAAGACGTGATAATCTGGAAGGACTGGAAGAGGCAATAAGGAAATGAAAGAGGATGGTGCTTGGTTAGGAAAGGAAACAGGGAATACGTTTTCAGCAGGAGACTCAAGGGATCAATAGACCTAGTTTGTAAACAATGAAAAAGAAAATCAATGAGTTTTAGGTGGGGCACTTGAGTGTTTTAGCAATAATTAATTTCCTCCTCAGTTCTATGCCTTCACTTGTCTAGTGAAATTAGACATGTGACCCTTTTCATTGGAAATAACTCCTGTCCTTATCATTTTGTGAGCAGATCTCTGATGCTGATCAGAGCCTGTTATGAGCCCTTGATCAATTAAGCATTAATGACCCATTTTGGAGAACTTCACCAGATAGGTAATAACCTACTAGAGGAGTTAAGATGGAAATCTAGGGAGTCTAATGCTTGTTCTTGTCATTACCCAACCAGTGTGGATCTCTGAATGTGTCGTTAATGGTAATATAAACCTTTCTTTCTCCACAATTATAAAATAAAAATTCAAGGATTTTCCTTTTCCCCCACCCCTCGCTTGGCATGATCATCCTTCAGAGCACCATGGGAATAATTAGTTTGAATAACACTATCTGGAGTGTTCGTCAATGAATAGCCTCCTGTCCTGGTTACAGCAGGGACTGCTTTTAGCCTATCAGGAAGACAGATGTAAATGCACCTCTACCCCGATATAACGCTGTCCTCGGGAGCCAAAAAATCTTACTGCGTTATAGGTGAAACCGCGTTATATTGAACTTGCTTTGATCCGCCGGAGTGCGCAGCCCCACCCACCCGGAGCACTGCTTTACTGCTTTATATCCGAATTCATGTTTTATCAGGTCGCGTTATATTGGGGTAGAGGTGTAGTGTCAATAAAGATGTATAGTAAAGCTTAACAAACTTATCATTTTTGTGATATAAATAGTGAGAACTTGTATCTTGTGCACAGTTAACCATCTGGCTATTTACAGTGGAAACGATTTTTGACATTCTATAACTGTCTCCACATTTGTTATTACAGTACTGGATACCAGTGTATTTACTATTCACCTGAAAACACAGCCAAGGCAAAAGAAGTTCTCAGCAACATCAATCATCTACAGCCCCTCATATCAAGCCATGCAGACCAGCTGCTTAATTCTGCAAGCCTGCATTCTACAGACAGCTTGAAGAATTCTTTAAAGATGCTTTCAGAAAAAGTAAGATACAAATCTTTACTGCAATGGAAAATGGAATAAGCAAATGCCTAGCTGCTGTCTTTTTCTGCATAAATTGACTTTCAGAGCATCAGGAAATGTTAAATATGCTCTGTAAAAATCAGCTTCAAAACGTTGCCATAGGAAAAGAATACACTAGTCATATTTCCATTTGCATTATTATTGACCATTTTTTTAGGCTTTCCATGTTGGAAATAATGCAGTTTATAGAGCAAGAGTGAGTTTTATTTGAAAGTATAATTTTTATTTCACGTCTTTACTTTCCTCTAGTGGCCACACACTGGGAATTTACCAAAGATAAAGTGTCTTGAATTTTGAGGGATGATAAGCTATTATTTGTTCCCATTCCATGAAACTTCTGACGACTTACTGAACCTACCTCTTATAGTGGAGGCCATTCTTGTGAGTCAGTTCTGGACCAATAGCATGACGATGACCATAGAAGCAGTGTGGTCTGGAGGAATGAGCACGGGAATGGAAGTCAAGAGATCTCGGAGTCTAATCCTGCTTTTACACTGATTAACTTTGTGGCTTTGGGCATGCCACTTCACTTTCCTGTCTTAGTTTCCCTAACTCTAAAATAGGGATAATAGTTACCCAGCAACTGCATGGGGTCACTGTGGGGTTAGTTAATTCATATCTGTAGAGTACTTTGAAAATATAACATGCTATGCAAATATTAAGTATTTGTCACAGGGTAACTGGTCCCTGTGAGCAGAACTAGGCCCAGCTCCTCTATGTCAAAGTAGGTGAGCTAAATCCAGCCAATTAAAGGGGGCGGGGCTAGACCTGGGCCTGCAGGGGATAGGAAATGGAAGGTGGAAAGGAGTATTGGGACAGGCTGTGCCTGGGGAAAGGAAGTCATGGTGGAGAGGAGCTAACTCCTTTGGTGGGTCCCTGGAGCAAGAGGCCAGGTGTTGAGGGATGCAGTCCTGGGGCTACTGCTCCAAGAAGGGCACCGAGTTGGCTAGAGCTAGTAAACTGCCAAAGGATCCTGGGTGGGGTGGCCCTGAAGCCTGAGAGAAAAGGAGTGAGTTCAAAGACTGTTTTTCTGTATTTTTAGTTGCCTGTTTTAAGAGAATACGCCTTCTTAAAGGAGGCTGGGCGTGGTGGCAAGTGTTTAGAAGCTGAGGAGAAGCCCTGCCCTCTGCCAGTATTATTACTGTGACCACTGCCTTGTAGACTATATCCTCTGTAATGTGATCTCTCTCTGAGTTTATGGCACTACCAGTAATCATTTCACGTTGTCTCCAACTATTGTGCAGCAGGCAACATTGTGAGCTGTTGAGCAGGAATACACTAACAATACATTTTTCAATGTGGGAGATTCAAATTTGAATATTGAGCTCAATCTCATTCTGCGAAGAAGGCATTGTAAGCACAATGCATGCCGATTTACCTATGAAGTCAGATGTTAACAAAGAGATGTGACGTCAACAAGGAAGCAGTACACAGGAAGTACACATTCGGTGAGGAAGGGGAGCCGAATGTTGCTCTCACTTACAGTTGTGCAAATCCACAGTAACTCCACTGAGAACAATACAGTTCTGTTGGATTTGAGTGACATAACTGAAAGCAGAATTTGGCCTGAAAAAAGGGAGGAACATCATTTTGCTCAGTAGCAATTACTGCTGACTATTCAGTGATAATATTGATGAGACTCTGGAGGGAGCCATGTCAAGATCCCCTGGCAAGAGCACAGCTGCTGTGATATAGAAGTATTCAAAGAAGGAGGAGGAAAGTTGTACTGGGATAAAATATAAAAAGATCTTTGTGATGCAGATTTCAGCACCTTACTACTTAGGAACTAGAGTTTCAGTCCTAACCAGGTTCTCTCCTCTTCCTCCTACCTCCTGTAATTCTTTGACTTATTGAGTGGGGAGGAAGTAGAAGCCCTGGGAAATGAGGCAGGGGACAGTTGTATAAATAATGTTGCATTGGGAGGGCACCCTATTTTAGAAGCTGGGAAGAAAATCCCTTCAGAAAAGACAACCCAGTGTGATGGTTCTCTGGGTATCCAGGACTGAGAGTCACCTTGTAACCACAGCCAGGGCCGGCTCCAGGCACCAGGCAACCAAGCACATGCTTGGGGCGGCACCTGGTAAGGGGCGGCCAATCTTGGGGTGGCGGGGGGCAGCACGGCGCGGCATTCTGCGGGGGGGGGCGCTCCGGCGGCGCAGCATTCCGCGGGGGGGGCGCTCTGGCAGCGCGGCGCTCGGCGGGGGGGGGGGGGGGCCCCGGCGGCGGGGCGCCCGGGGGGGGGGCGGCCGGGGACGCGGGGCGGGGGGGGGGGGGCCGGCGGCGGGGCGCTCGGGGGGGGGGGGCTTGGAGGGCGGCGCTTTTTTTTGCTGCTTGGGGCAGCAAAAAAGTTAGAGCCGGCCCTGACCACAGCCTCCAGTATGAGGAAATCTTGACTATGTTTGGCTGGGTGGCAGCTCCTGAACACCACCAGCCTATCAGTCACTCAAGCCCTTTGCTCTGGGGTGTGCCAGCATGTACTTTGCCTTGCAGTTTAACAGTAGGTGCATCCCAGTCCATGAGTCCCTTTGAAGCATTCCCCTTGGTTATCCAGCCACTGGCACTGGCTCCTCATAGAACTACTAGGCCTGCTGTTCTGAAAGGAGCCACTTGTGAGATTCAGTTCAGGATCAGCACTTTGCTTTAATACCACAACACTGAGGTATGTTTATAATGAAAACAATAAGTTATTATTCAAGATTCAAGCGATCATGAGTAAGGATATTAGAAACAAATGGTTACATATAAGACAAAATTATAACACACTTTCTAGAGACTAAATTTAGCTAACAGGTTAACCTCCTGTCTAAAGAAGCTTTATCTCACCCAAAGTCTTTTGCAGCATTTTCAGCCAAGCTTAGCTGAGATCCCCTTCTGATGAATGTAAGCAGGCTGTCCATTTATTTCCTAAGCGCAGGATGAAGGGGTGTCTGTTTCCCCTCCTACATATATCTCCAAAGTTCACGATCTGTCCTCAGGGACGGGATAATCACCTGTGGCTTGTTTTTCTTGTGTACTGCTTTTTTGTTAATGCCACATCTTTAACTGACTTCATATGTAAATAGGCATCCACTGTGCATTCAATGCTTAATTTACATTCTGACAGAGAGCTATAAATTTCTTATCTCGTGTCCGGAAGAAAACCTGTTCCTCACCTCTGCTAGTGACTAATACCTTGATACAAACTTTAAAAACATAATATCAGTATATATATACATGACTGCTTACATAATACCTATATATACCTTTCACAATGATATTGATGACCATTGTGACCCCTAGTTTTCCATTAAGACCTCATATGACATTCTTTGATGAACCACAATGTACATCCCAAATCAAGCTATTCCTTGACCACCGTTCCTGTTGGCACTATGGGGTTCTTGGGTCACACCCAAGATATTTTAGAAACTTCATAAAAGCTTTTAAATTGTGCTAGTTTAGGTGGTGGTTTAGCTGTGTGTACTAATATGGACTTTAAGGACTAGGATTAAACCACCAGTTAGCATATGAACTCAGGTTCCCGGAAGTGAAAAGCTAATACTCTAACCCAAGATGACATCCTAGCAACTTTCCATACAGTTGTCAGCACTGAGACCAGGAACTAAGAGACTGTTTCTAGTCATGTTTGAGGTGCATTGACAGCATTTCATGATGAAACATTTATAATGCGTCTGTACTTTTCTTTATTCTAGCAAATGCTACTAGTCCCTTAATTTCATGTGTACCAAATACATACTCTAATACATTTTTACATAAATTATTTAAATTCTTTCTAATTTTAAATTATTTTGAATAGGTCACAGTTCAGGGATCTGCACAATAATGGGATTGGTTTATTTTGTAACAAAAGTTCACTGCTTGGACCATTAATTAAAATATGTAATATTAGTGCTTCATTTGAGGGTTGCAGAAAATTTTATTTTTAATACTAGGTGTCACGGAGTTTGGAGGGAGACCAGGCTTCCTGCAATTCACCGTGACTCTCAGACAGACAGTAGAACAGAAGGTTTATTAGACAACAGGAACACAGTCCAAACCAGAGCTTGTAGGCATAAACAGGACCCCTTAGTCAGGTCCTTCTGGGGGGTAGGGAGCTGAGACCCCAACCTTGGGGTTCCCTCTGATTCCCCAGCCAGCCCCAAACTGAAGACTCTCCAGCCCCTCCTCTCCCTGTGTCTCTTTCCTGGGCCAGGAGGTCACCTGATCTTTGTTCTTCAACACCTCTAGTTGGCACCTTTGCAGAGGAGGGCCCCAGGCCATTAGTTGCCAGAAGACAGGGTGTTGGCCATTCTCTGTACAGACAGGATCACACTGGCCCCCTAGGGCTCTGCAAGAATCACACACCCCTAGACACTCGAGAAATGCATAGGGGAAACTGAGGCACCCACACAGCACTCAGGGAAAACATTAAGAACATTCCCACTTCGTCACATCTCTATCCCACTTCATCACACTAGGCAACCGAAGCAGAGTGGAGATCCAGCCTGGTATTGTCTAATTTAACAACTGAATCAGCCTGCTTACAGGCTAGCTGGGGATAGACATGAAGTTAGGAGTGGTGCGGTGCTGATCCTCAGGTGGCAAATAATGGCATTACTATGCCTAAAAGTTAAAAAATCAGAAGACAAACCAAAAGAAATCCATACAACTTATTTCTAACCTGAAACCCATTCCCGGTGCATGTACCTCCATACATCCCGTATGTGACATTATTTCTATTAGCATCATGTCTTGAAAAGAGTATGAAATGTAAAAATAGCCCGGGATGAGGAAGGTTGACACTATGCTCCCTTTTTAGCAGTTAGAGAGCTCTGCTTCAGACTCAGTTATGTCATAACCCCTTTTAGCACCAGCCAGCCCACCTCAGAGGTCATTTTGGGGGGGCTGGGATTACAACTCTCCAGGACCCTGTCCACTTTAAACCTTGGGGTGAGTCTGTGTATACAGAAATGGTGTTTTAA